TCTTTACAATATGTTCTAATTATATATTATTTAGCATTCTTCCCAACTTACAAAAATATGTCATTTCTACTTTTTGGTATAAACTTCTTTCGTAACTTTATCCATCATTTCTCCATATATGATAGTGAATGCTGATCTTCATTGTTTATCATTCTTGGAGATATTTTCACTCTTCTTTTTCTTCAGTTGTCATTCTTGAGTTTCTTTTAGATAGGTGGTACCTTCCGGTCATTTATTATCCAATTACTCGATGTCCTTTTTTTCGGACAAATGATGATAAATGTTTTGTTTTCGACTCATTATCCAATTACCCAGTGACCTATTTGTAAACAGATAATGATGAATTTCTTTCTTCTGGATAGATTCTGCTATTTTTCATTTCTTGTTTACTTTCCGCTTCTGATCCTTGATCCTTTAGCTTCTGTAGTCTCTGCTCCACTATTTTCCTCTCTTCGCATTTAGCGACAACGCCAGCATGTGAAATGGCCTCATTGACTGAGGACGGCAAAGGAACCAGACGTAACGCAGAGGGAAAGCTCTTAGAGGCCATACTAGGAAATCATTGCCGAACTCAACCGTATAATGTACAGCAAGGTATACACAAGGAAATAATTGTCCAGCCATGTCGAAATCAACGTTTAAAGCTAGTGGTTGTTCAATATCTTTGCTTATCGTACCTTTGTGCAGCTTTAAAAATTTAGTTTCTTTGCCTTTCCTTCAAGCCTGTCCGTTGTTAAAATTTGAATTTCAAGTAGTTTGTCGTTTACTATTTCTCACTTTCCCTAGGTTTTAGTTTGTTTAGAATTACTTTTTTTGTTTTTGTACTTTGCTCAATTGTTTATATTTGCGGGTTACAAGTTAACAAAGAATTGACTAAAAAAACAACTTTTTAAACTGAAGCACTACTACTGTACTCCTTTGCGCTCTTCCTACGTGGGCCCTTCTCCTAATACACTAAGTTAATTGTAACCGTAATTGGCCACTTACGAATCACAGCTACCAATCAAACAGACTGCAACCTGACGGACCGTAATTTACTGTTACTTGAGATCTTTAACTTATATTTTTCCAATCTCCTAAACCTTTGCTGCAAGTACTTGCAACTAGGGTTACTTCCGGTGTATATGTGTGGAAGCAGGGATCACCGTTGGGACTCTGCAGAGATGTGATGAACCGCGCAATTAAAGAAATTGTCTATAGTTGCGACATTTATACACTGATTGAAAAGTTGATGCAGACAACCTCACTCTTGTGACCCGTGTGCTTTTACTTCATTGAGGGTTTTTCAATGTCTCATTTTTCGGACTAATTTATTTTAAAAGAAAAGTGCGCCTACTACTGACAAAAGTTAATACAGTGTTGCCTAACAGACCTACGATTAACAGAAAAGATTGCGTAATCTCTTGCGTTATCGTTGACCTACGCTGTGCTGTTCCCAAACGTGTTCCGCCTTTAATAATACTTTTTTATTACTAGCACTTAAACACATCTTAACTGGAATAAAATTTGAGGAAATGGGGTTTCCTGGTTTGTTTTTTAAATTTTAAACACCGCATAAGTAATGGAAACTTCTTTCAATTGGCAAGTCCATATTTTCAACAGCCATTGCAAATGCAGTTAACATTCTTTGATGAGAAAACTCCTACTTTCTTTCTTTACTTCCTTCTAAGAATCCTGATTATAGCATTCATCTACTGTCAATAAGCCTTATTCGCCTTTGTTTACAGGGCCATTCTAGCAGAACAAGGATTTTCATTTGAGTCAACTCGTTTGGTACCAGCCAAATGCCTTATGAGATAATGAAGTGTTTAACTCTAACAATCTTTGAGCTCACTACCTTGAGTTTTGTAGTAGCGCTTGCTTCAATAGCCCTTAATTACGAAACTCCTGAGACAAGATAGATCAAATAAGCTACAGATTATACACTTGATGATACGGCTCCAAGAAGCACAGCTTAGTAGACCTGCTCACCCGTCTACCTACTACAACAGTAATGCTAGCGTCACAACTAAATCACGGTCAAATCCATCTGCCTCAAATCTAATCAAATAGAATATATGATTTCCAGGCACACGACCTCGGTGCTAAACCACAAGATCGCGGCAAACACATTTGTAATCTAGTTGTAAAAATTAGAATTTTTCGTTCTGGGGGAATTATTAAAGTTGATGAAAGCCGTCCAGCATCTTTTCAAACAATCGAAATTCTAATTCAAAAAACCACGCAAATATTATATTCATTTATATGTCATACTCAAGTACTGTTCAAGGTGAGCGGTAGAGTAAAGCGTTACGTGCAGTAAGAAAACATAATAGTCTCAAGAACAGAGCACTTTATTAGAGAGCTACATGATAGTTTGAAAATTTTTTTGAATATATTGTCCACCGATATCTGAATGAACTTCTAAATAACGCGATCCAGTGATAAACGTGTAGAAACCGTAGGTGACGACGACTAAAGTTTCTTCTCTCAAAAAGAGCATCCTTTCCGCATCCAGTAAAGTCCATAAAAGGTTAGGTTGTGAGTTCAGGATATGCTTTTACAACTTAAATTTTCTTAACACTTGCTGCTGAGACGGAAGCATTTGTTGACATCAAAATAGGGGTTGTTCTCATTGCTACAAAATTGGAAGGAAAACACTTAGATATCTTTCAACTTCTCAGTGACACTGAGAAATTTCACGGTGAAATGTCAAGCACTTTATGAATTAGGTACTAACCGATTGCCAGTAGTGCCTAACTGCTGCTATACCGTTATCCAGAATAGCTCTCACGTGATAAAAACTGGTGTTTTAGTCAATCAGTTTTCAACGGCATTCATCCTATGCCTTTGCTCCAGTTGGTTCGGAGAAAAAAAAAATGTAAAGCACCATTTGGACACACTTTTAATTGAACAAGCCGCGGTTGCTTAACCTTCAATTGCCTTTTTCAACACTAAGCAATGAAGATGTAGCATTACTGAAAGTATGCAACCACGGTAAAAACCGTTGCAAAATAATGAACTATCAAGAATTAGATAGATAGGTTTAAAGTTCCACTACTCAAGGAAAAGAAACGAGTTCTATAGAATAACCACGATAATATTTTTGTACATCCCTAACACTTCGAAGTTAACGCGAAGTAAGATCTAAAAAAGTATCCAGTTAAAAGGTTGAGCTAAAAGGCGGTATTTTGTGTGAAATGTTGCAGCGAATGATTATCGAAATGAGAAATCTGCGAAGAATCATTAAAAGGTGTTCAAAATAGTCAGGTACGAAACAGTGAATGACAGTGAAGGAATTTTTTTCAAACATTTTTACTTAAGAACACAAATAATCTAATAGTATTATTTCAAAAAACGTATAGAGAATTAATTATGCACATACGTGATAAGGCACTAAATTAAATTTAAAAAAAAAAAGGAAGATTGAAAAGTTATTAAAAATCATCTAATGTGTGGTTTAAAGCTTTTGAAACTACACGCTATAAATCACAGACGACAGAAAAATGAACAAAGGCAAAATAAATGTCTGCGAACAACAAAAACTATCGCTTAGGGTTTAAAAATGTAAGCACAGATCCTTCTGATACAGATTTTTCAAAAGCTGCCAAAAAAATTTTCAGTCTGAAGCGTACAGAAATATGCTCCATTGCCAAATTTACGCGTTGCTAACAAATTCCAGATCCAAAAAAAAGTTAAACAAATGCTTTACTTTGTAAGCAACCCGTTGACAGACTTTAAAATTAAACTGAAAGCTTTATACAAAAATGAAGATCCAAAAAGAAAAACGACCGCAAAAGACACAAAGAGTCATAAATCTGGATCAGAATCTATGTGCCTCAGAACACTCCCACGATCGCCCAAAGAATTTACAATCAGTAAGCCTTTAGACTTTAAATTAAACTCTGCTGAATTCCGTCGTTCCGGATGGAACCGTGAATAATAAAAAATCATAATCAGTATGCCCACAACATAACTGACAACGCCAAAGCAAGCAGCAGATGTCCTTATAAGCTGAGTAAATGAGCCTCGGTAAAAAATAAGGCTGAGGATGACCTGCAACTTAGAACTGAAAAAGGCCTGACGAATAGAACTGTGAATAGAACAAAATCTATAAAGTGTAACAATGTGAGACTTTGAATAAGAAGCCTGAAACGCTTCAACGCTTGTCATGTAAAAAATGTTTATAAAATGAATGGCCGCAATACAAAGCATAAAAAAACTTTTTTGAACTTCCACATGTACAGTTGAAGCAGATAACTTAAATTAAATACCGTAAATTCAACTGCTTCCAAAGCGTACGCACATAAGTACCGCCATCTTGTCCTCCCTTCGGCCATATTAAATGGCGTAAAAAGATGGATTGCAGCGCAGACTAGCACTAATCCAAGGCGAATTACTTTTATTTTTCCATTTGTATCAACAGACATCAACTAGAAATTATCCGTTTAAAAAAACTGTGTTTAAAACATATTAACTGACTTTTACAAGCTAAAGAAAATCAGTTTATATAACATTATGAAGTGATATAAATAGAACGAACCTGTAATCCAGTTATATGGAGTATAGACACGCAATAATGAATACCGAGCACAACAAATATCCAGTAATTGAAAGCAACTGCAAACATGACCAAACACGTGTATCGCGAGGCAATAGTTAAAATACGCCACGAAAACTGAAGAAGAAAAGACTAAAATATTGCATATTAATAACCAATAAAGTTTCTAAATAAAAAACTTGCGAAGAGAAAATTTAGCAGTTCAAATGGCAATGCACCTGCAAGCAGGTTTCATAGAAGGTCATGTTTGCTTTATCTTGCCGAGCAACGCGAAGGTTTCTATGCTGGATTATTAATGACCAACAAGACGACACCAAAGAGCAAAAAATTGATAAGATTTGAAAATAAGCTACAAATATTTGACATCATAGTCCTTAACCAGAAAATTAAGAAATACATTCAGCAAAAATCTTCAGAAATTAAACAACAAACTCCGATTGGGAGAAAAATGTATTGCCATTCTTATTTGAAAAAATGAGAGAAAAATTAAATTAAAATACCCATTACTGGTAGTTTTTGGTTTTCTGTAAGACTGCAATAGATTCCAACGAAGACATAACCTTGAACAAGGACTTGTGGCATGGACTCAATAAATGCCTCAAAAAACCTATGAAAAAATACTAATGACGTATGATTTTCAATATTGAAAAGGATCGCTTCTAAAACGTCCCTCTGTTAAGAAAAAAACATTCTGCTGTTTATATGACCACAAGGTATTTATTTTGGATAACAGCAGAAAAGTCTTTGAAAAAGGTAGGACGCTTAAGAAAAATTTTGACGACTTAAGAAACCTTAGAAGAGAAGCGTCACGATCAGCCACCACCATTTTACAATAAAATTTACGTTTCTCATTGTCTTCGGTACACTTCCGGAAACATAGTCCAGCGTACAAGGCTCTTGAATACCAAATTAGCGGTCCTAGCTAAATTTAAAACCAGCTTCATATAGTAAGAATAAAACCTGATCAAATTTCTTCACTTCAAGAGAGTTTGCTCATTGATTTAACAGCTCTATCACTCCCCAACTTCCTCCTAAAGCTATAAATTTTAAAATATAAAATGGACCTGGAAAACGTGCATAAATGCGCTAGCGACAAGTGAAACTTTTGAAAAGTCACTTGAAGTTTTGTTCCTGCGAGCGAGTATAAAATCATCAATCCACCACAAAAGCGAGACGACGTTCAGCAGCATTGCTGGTACAACGGCCAAAACAAGGATAAGAACGAAAGCAAGGTACTAAAATTTAAATATTCAGCTTAAAATCAACGGTACCAAAATACACAGAGAAAAAGAATTTTTAAAAATTGACCCGATTAAAGCTATAATGAATGTAGGCAACGATGAGGTCGGTTACAATATCACAAATATATGTTGTCATGGAAAACGCAAAGCAAAACAGATCGAACCAAGTTACCCTCAATGTGAATGGTAAACGATCTGTTTCATCCAAAGACTGCCCTGTTGCGTCCTCTAAAACTTAATCTTAAACTACTGGGAGTAATCTTAGAACCAAATAAACAAGTGTTTTGAAAAAAATGACATACAGAAAATGTTGCTTATCAAAGCAATGATTTTAAACATAGGAAAGAAATATGAGAATTTATGAGTCATAACACAAATATGACTACTTTGGTGATTTGAGAAACCAAAAGAGATTAGGTTGGTGAATTACATAAAGGTGTTGCACTGCGGAAACTATTTCTTTCCCGCAATGCTGATGTGGGAGCCTCAAGTGAATGAATCCGCACGACGCCACACAATAATGAAGAAACTGATAAAAAATAAAGAAGACAATGGCGATGAGAGCGTCAAAGAGCCAATGAGTCTGTCTTACAAATTTTGAAAAAAAAAAAAAAACTTATTTCAAGGAAAAACGGTGTTGGTTTTATTAACTCAGACCAACATATTTCGAATGTTTAAATAGCAAACAAGTAGTTTCAGGAAAGATTCAAATTTAATCAAAAGAAAAAACACTTCTCATACCTTCTTCAGGGACAAGACTTTCCAAAAATGCTCCAACATTAATCGTGGACAAATATAACAGTTTTGGTGAACGTTTTTGAAAAATTTTCATTGTTACATGAATTCTTTCAACGTTCAAACACAGCAATGAATATTTCAGGTTAAGCCAATGACCGTTTTGACTTCATCTGGATAATGAATTCTAACCTGTAAACAGAGAAATTCTGATGTTAGATGAATTGGAAATTGACAAAATCAATAAAAAAAAAAAATCTGGGCACCGGGAGAGTGTGACTGGCAGTGGTCGACTACTCCGAAGAACGTCGGAACTTAAAACTCCGGCATGAGTGCACACATGTACATCAAATGTGCTTAGTTCCCTTAACTGCTACACCAGTGTATTCCGCTTAATCAGCGACACCAAACACAACGATGGTTATTTAACCAAAAGCGAAGTAAGGGGAACTGAAACGATGAGAAGAACGGAACGCACATGCACAAAAGACTTTTATCTTTACAAATTCGCAGACGGTTAGCTATATAGCAAAAACGGTTCAAAAGGTTTGCTGGCGTCGAATTACAGTGAAATGAATATTTTGCTCCATTTGATTCTCGGCTTTTTTGGCACCCCATCAACGCTATCTATTTTGGCGCCAAAGCAATCTTTACATATTGTTACGCTACAGATGATTAGCATAGCTCGTTTAGTGTAATACTTTGCAGATGTCTTACTGCCTGGCGGGAACTCATGGCAGCTGCTGCGTTTTGGATCTAACCATTATTTTATGCTGTTGCAGGTAATGTATTCCGCATAGCGGTTGTCGCAGCTTCCTACTTTAATCACGATATTAATCTGCGGAAGAGAGATTGGAGGAGTTGGGAGAGATTAGGCATAACAGATAGTTGGTTATGAATCTAAATTTTTTGGCTATCGCAGACGACTGATGCAATTGGAATTTTAGCAGAAACGGTTCTGCGCAACTTAAGTTTATGACTGCCACAGGATTTCCGATCCAGTTTGTTTTTCCTCCGTCATTTTCAGCAGTATTTATTTATAGATTACTTCTTTCGTTTTAAGCGGATTCATGTTAAATTGCGGCTTGTGACGCTTATAACTGTTTGGTTGATCGGAGATTGACGAAATATGGTTTAGTAGTTAAGTGCTGGGTTTTACATTTTTAGCCTTTTAAATTGTGTGTGGTGAGTCTGTTCATTTAAGCTTTAAAAGCAGAATTTTAAGATGTTTTTTAGTCATCTTATAAGGTGGGTCAACAAGTTTTATGTGTACCAGTAATGGGATCTGAAAAGCAAGAGCGGGATGCTTGGGAATACAATGATGCTGCTCTGTGACGTTTGCTTGAATGGAGCTGTGATCAAACATGTTTCTTAAAGAACCAGTTGATGTAAGATGTATCAAAAATGTTGTGCCAGTCACAATTGGATATTCTAAATTTATTTACCTGAACGTTTTGTAAAAGTAGCTGGCCGCTGCTGCGGTGGGCGAAAGGGAAAGAGGAAACAGCTATATATGGCTGAACGAAGCCTGTAATTACAAAGCAGAATTGTTTTCTGTAAATAGCGGGTCAAGTAGAGTATTTTGCCTAAGTTTACTACTGCTGGCCATCGTAAAATAGACATTTAAAAGAATTGGGAATTTTGTAAATTTTTTTGGGATCTAACAGTGGTTATTTCTGCTTCATTTAGCATACTGCAACTAAATGTTTAAGGATAAAGAAAAAAGTAAATTTGAAATATTTGAAACTATATTTGACGATAATTGTATGTTGTATCTTTCGGTTTTAAAAATTTTTTCAATTGAAACAGTTGTTTAGAATTGCATATGCAGAAATAATGGCGATATTTTGTTTTGTAACCGCCTATAAGTCTTATAGCCTCTACAAATAACTTTACTTTCGGTTACCACCAAAAAGTTCAAACTTAACTAAAGTTCAATAATAATCAATTGTCTATTCCACCGCTCGCAGCAGGAACAGGAACAAGAAAGATGTAGACAAGTAATGCTAATAGTTCACTCGACACTGCTTTAATTTGCTGTTGCTCGTTTGTAAAAACAGTCATTCTCTTCTCTCAAATCAAAAAAAAAAACTTTTTTAGATGACTGAAGTTTTACACTGTTGAAATGATGGCCAATTTTCGTTCTCTCTTCATTTTTGACGAATTTTAGAAGGTTATTTTATCTGGTAGCTGAGATCAGTTAGAACGAGAAAGGTAAAGCTAATCAGCTTACTTCTTATTCTTCTGCCTTTTTCTTTGGCTTTATTAGATTTATTGATCAGTTAATCAAAAAAATAATGGATTAGCTGTTTTTTCTTTATTAATTTTAAGTGGTGAACTGAAAGCAACGGTAAGAATTTATTTTTGCTTCTTTTTTTAGGTTATGCAGGCTACGTCTTTTCGTTTGTATTTCTATTACAGTTGTAGTCATTAACGCCAATTTTTTTTTTGGTTATCAATTTGCAGAACCTGCGTATCATTTGTGGAGCTTTATGGTCAGCATAAGCTGTTTGTAGATGAACAAAATCTGCTTGTATTTACTAATAACTTTATATTTTTATTGATGTAGGTAACCAAGAAAATTTGCTTCTCGGGAATATTACCAAATAATCATGAGCTTTAATTGAAGTTTTTTTCGCTGGCAGAAGTACCTTATTGGGAAAACTTAATAATAAGATTTACTGTGCAGTGATTAAGACTCAATCGAAAAGCGTGACAGATTTTGTCATGGACAGGAAATGGTTTACAGTGCTGCTAAAGCAGCAAAATTAAATTAGTCTGTGAATTACGTAATTTTATTTTCATGGTTTTTTATAATGTTTGCTAAGACATTTGCATTGTATTATACTGTCTTATAATTCGTATGTCTTATTAGTTAATCTTATTAGTTAACTTATTTTTGAAACTCGTTTTGGAATGTAATATCATATTTTTTTTCTGTTTATTGGATTGCTGTTACAATTTTGCAGACAACGTTATTGACTATGTTAGTTGCATTTATTTGTAAAGGACAAATTGTAGAATGTGGGGAAATGGTTATCATTGTATTAAACTATTTTTTAGTCAGAAAAGAATTTGATTATTCGGATTCTTGTAAACTCGGGTACTATAAAATGGTTTTCTTTCTTTTTTCTTTAAAGTTTTTTTTCAAATTTGAGCTTAACAGTTATAACCTTTGGAAAACGAAATTTTATTGAACATACTGTTTTTTTTGCGGCTGCGAAACGTTAAGAACAAAAAAAAAAAAAAAAAAAAAAAAAAAAAAA